GAAATGGTGGGAGAGTCATTGCTTGGATAACAAAATCCATAATTCTCGACACCGCGAGCACTCCTTGTCTGTCAATCACACCGTCGGCGTCGAGAGTCGCCGCATGGCCGTGACTAAGACTGGAACGCCTCCATATTATTTCTTCCGGGGACCCAGCAGAATGAGAAGGGTGGGCGTCTATCGGGCGCACTTCGCGATTTTCCCGTTCGCTCCAGTCCGTTCTCTCCGTCCAAGCGCTAGCAGGGCGAAACGTGCGGACCCGATCCCCGCGCACAAAACCGGACCGATGATAGACAAACGAAAACATGAGCGGATGGATATCTACGCGTCAACTCAACGTTTCCGGCAGATGCTTGCACTACTTCAACCTGCCGTTGACAGCCACGGTCAGCTCGTCGTCCGAAAACACATCTTGCCATAAGCAAAGCGCTGTCGGCCTCAGGCAAGCGCAGCGTGCATCACCTTATTGGTATTTGCCCCTCCCCCGCCGAGCTTAACCAGAGGAACAAGCGGATACACTGTACGAGCGCCAAGTGGGCGGGAGGGAACGGGTGCGGAGCAGCAGGGACATTGTACACAGACCCCGCATTGATTCCAGGGAGGTGCGAGGTTAGCATCAGGAACCCACCTGCGGTCAGAAGGACAGAAGCCCTGTGGCCCTGGAGTTTATTTTCGAAATAATAGCCGACGTAGAGAGGATATGGCGAGTTTACCGAACGTGAATGCATTGAAGCATGCTCAGTGGCATTCTTCCCAACAATGCCGGTGGCAAAGCGATCTTCGTCCCTTTGTTTTCGTTCCTCATATTGGGGTTCCACCCATGTCCTGCATTCCTCCGGATCTTTTCCACTACATCGGACAGGATAGAGATGTTCGCTTGGATCGAGTCGCAGGACAGACGCTGAATATTCCACGGGCAACTTTCGCCCAAGCGATGCGGAGCCGAGAGCTCTCGCTCTCCGGATATCTGGTGGAACGTTCCTCAAGGGTGCACTCGGTCAAATGTTGATGAGCGACGTCGCTGAGCTGAGGAAACCGGCGCGGTCGCCGTCGTCGCAGTCATCGTCTACATGTAGAAATGGAGGGAGGTACGCAGGTCGGCGCTCGCTTAATATGATGGGGTGAGAAAGGCTGAGCCGACATGAGTGGTGCGGAGGAAGCTTCCAAGTAATTCAAGTTTACGGTGCTGGAGCCGAGACGGCTGCTCTCGTCCGTGTCGTCAAGGCTATCTGATGAGCGGGCTACTCCTCATAGCGAGGCTTGGGTGCCATGAAGTGAGGGGTCGGACGAAAAAAAAAACGAGGTCTACGGAGCGTGGGCTATCTACCCTGAAGGTCAGAACAATGTATCCTGGAGAGATACGAACTTTCCGAACCTCGCCGTACCTTGAGCATCGCTGCAAGTGGCCGAAGGAAACCTTCTCGCTCCTCTCGCCGGGGGGTAATTAGGAAGCTCTGACCATCCATTTCTTTCCTTCAGAGGGAAATTAGCGGAGTTGGCACAGGAGGATCCCTCCTAGTGTCCGAGACCCACTCAGTAGCCTTTCTGGTAAATCTAAAAAGCACAATGGACTTGGAAAATGTCTCGACTCGAGACCTTCGCCGATCGGATCCCCCTTGCTCCGAGCTGTCGAGGGGCGACGGTGGCATCGACGTCTCTTTCCTCTTCGTCCCGATCATTATATCCGGCGGGCCTTCCGATGCGGTGGGCACGGCCAGGGAATAAAGTATCCCTCGGTAATTTATTGGACGTTTATTTCTCGCTCGTCAGTCGTAAGCCTTCGGCTCGCTCCAGTTCGATCCGCTTTCAATTCATCGTCACTGTCTTCCCACGCGTTCGCCTCGTTAGGAAAGTCCTTTTATGACTCCTAAAAGACGAAGCGATGTAACGTCGGATCTTCGTCGTCATATGTTGCCTCCCGGAGGCAAACTGGCTTGCTGGTTGCTTTCGTTGTCGTGGGCCCTGTTGTTCTCAGTTCCGTTTTTGGGGTCTAATAAAATTATCCCTCAGGGATATCGCTCGCTTTTCAGCGTCGCGATCGCCCGCGAAAGCCAGAGGGGGTCGCCACTGCCGAGAATCAGTCTGCCGGAGAAGCGAAGAAGTCCGAGGAGTCCAGAATGCTAACCCAAGGACCTCTGCCAGGAGCGAAAAGGCCGGCGCTCCTGTCCCAAACCATCTTTCGACGGTAGGGGACGATTAAGCCGTGCCCGAGAGCGGATCTTAATTATTATTGCCGGTCGCTTTGCGGATGACTTACCGTGACCGGTCACGTCAATTTCTCCTCTCGTGAAAGATTTTCTCTCGCCGGACTTCTCGAGCCATCCCTCTCCCGAGAACAATGAATAGGAAACCTTCGGTCAGGTACATTAGCCCCCCGCACTCGTATTGTATGTAGAAGGCGGACCCGGCATCGGCAGCAGACGCGTCGACTCCCGACTTGGTATCGGCGTAATATGGAGTGAGAAATGGAGGAGCACGACTGGAGTCTACTCCAGCGGCAATGCTTTCTAAAGTTTGTGCTGAAGCCAACTTTTGCACAAAAGCTCTTCGAGGCTGGTCGTCTTCCCGCCGAACTCCTCTTCGAGAAATGACAAGCACTCTATTCTCCCCAAGATATTATTCAACGCACACGAGGATGAATAGAGAATGAAATTGGGGAGACACCCCCGCGACCGAATCAAGGTCGATCGTGGGCAACCCATAAGTCCCGTGGTGGGTATTGACAGTCCGAATGCCGCGCTCGCCGAAGGGGAGTCCCCGGAGTCTCCAGAGGGGCCTCTCGCGCCAGTCATTCCCCACACGACGTCCACGATACGAGTCCACGATAACAACGGGTAGGAGAATACAGTGAGTGTTTTCGCATAGTCCTGGGTGCCCTGGGGTTCACGTCGGCGAAGAAGTAGAGGTTCCGATCAGCCGGTCGCAGAGGACAGTGATTGACATCAGAATCCCATGAAGTTGTGTAGGTTGACAACATACCTCGTTAATTCGGCCTCCTCTATCACACTGTTATCCGGTCATGGAGGTGACTTGTTGGCAGTAGCGTAAAGTTCACCACCCCAGCGAAAACTCTGATTGAAATCAGCGAAACACTTCACGTCACATTAATCGTTCCGACAGGAGGAGATCACTTCGTTTCGGCGGTCACCGCTATCCTGCGGCAAGAGATATAATTATTGGACTAATCCGAGAAGAAAAGTTTCCACGTATCTCGCCAGCCAAGATGCCCAACTTAGGAAGGATGGAGAAGGAGGCGAAGGCTCAGCATTGGGCTCGAGTTGCACTCTGTACCGGAGCGCGAGCCGAACTGCGCTCTGGGCCATGCATCGGTGTTGTGGTCTTGAGCCTGAAGCGAGAGGCCACCGACTCGAGCGTGAGGCTCCCCCTGGTGGCGCTTTGAACCGGAAGATGGAACCTATGAACCGCTTCATCGCGGAACTCCGAGTCGTCCCCGAACTGCTCGAATCAGAAAGAAGACAAAAGAGAGTAGCAGGCTTGTTAGCAGGCGGGAAGGCTTGATTCCGATCGACATGGTCGGGACAGTTCCGGACAGGTCTAATGGCATCGCATTATCGACTAAGCCCTCCGCATAGAGACGCGGGATGGCCCCGAGTTTCCAACGACGAGTTGAACTCTGTCCGTGATATATCAGCGAACTGCTCACGAATAATGACGGAAATGACGAAAATGAGGACCGATAACTCTATCGCGATTGGCCCGTCCCAACCAGCGCTCGAGAATCTCAGCGCTACGACGGTGGCCTCCATCGCGACATCAACTACCTCCCATTTTTGTCACCGAACACCGCAAGGCCAACGTGAGTGTCGATACCGCTGAAGCTGAAAATATAATCAATAATATTGGCTTATTGAATGCCACCGCTACGGATGCTTCTGCGGACGTACCGACCGAGGGTCGAACGGGAGAAACCTGCCGCCCTTCGGTCTTCGGTCAGGCGAGCGAGCGACTCAACGCCGAAAATTGCGGTGTGTGTGATCGCATGGCTTTTCCTTCAAGGAAAACCGCTCCCATTGAGGGCTCGGCATGCCTCGGACAAACTATTACATATTTATCGACAAGGAAATTTCTCTCCCTCTACCGATTGATCAGGAGTTTCGAACGATACCGAAGGATAGTCATTCTGCCTCTATTTCCTCGCCAGCACAGACGCTGCGGATTCCTGGGGGCCTTGATTCAGTTCGAGCTCCGCGAGGTTCTGAGGAGCTGACCTTAGGAAACTTGGAGAAGGTACAAAGAAATCTATTTATGCATCGAGGCCAGGGACAGAGACGTCGACCCGTGACCGGAGATCAATGCGGACAGACTCCCTCTAGAAGTCATCGAGCAGATGGATTCTTTTTGACTTTCGAACGTGGACGTCCTCGATTCCCCCTGCATCCCGAGTTTACACATGTTCTCCAAGGTCCCACCCACATACCGTACGGGCTTCGGTTTACACAAAGCGGAGCCCCGACCCGGGATGAGAGAGGGAGCGGGGACAAGAACCTTACTTGAGGTTATCCTCGAGATCCTATATCAATGGGTGCTTTGTGCATGAAGATGAATTTTTCTCCGACCGAAATCCTTCACCCCACCTTCGGAATTCGCCCAGTCCTGGAAGAGTCGCCTTTTTGCGGAGAGAAGGAGCTTCGCCGATCAGCAAGCTTTTCCCCGGCGGTACAGATCAAGAGTTCGGTCAACAGATAAATTACGTCCGTCGTTTATTTATTTATTCATTCATTTCCTCCGCCCTCCTTCGTGGAGATTCACCTGCGCATGGCATGACAACCTTGAACTGGGCACTTCTTACGGAACATCGTACCCTAGTCCCGAAGCCTCATAAATAGAACATTTCGATGTCGTCTGACATTTACTTCGTTTTTCGTCTTCGAGCGGTCGAAGCCCTCAAATCTCATCGTGGAACTCACAAACAAAATTAGTGTCAATAAGTCTACAATAGATCACTGCTGAGATTCAAACGGAAGCTCCCTATCGTTCTCAAACAGCGCAGCTCCCTTCTCTGGTGTTTTCGAGAGCTAACGTTCCGGGAGGGAACTAGATATTCCTCTGGAACTGAATGAACTAATGTTCCAGACGACTCGGCGACGCGGAGGATATTTAGTGTTTCTGGCAAGACCAGGCCACGAGTCTTACAATTGGTTTTTCGCCTAGAAGTTCTCGTAGTGGTGGATGAAATAGGGTAATTTCCTCGCTGTGTTGACGGTCTCCACCGACGCGTTTATCGTTTTGGTGAGCGCCGTTGGTCCACAAGAGAAAACGCCGACCTTGCTCACATACGCGTGTTGAGTCTGCACGAAACGAAGGAACGCCGTCATGTCGGGTCTGCCGAAATGATTGATAGCCTTCAGTCCGGTGAACATCGAATGATTCGAAATCCGTTGGAAGTGGTTCTCGCAAATGTACTGAAACGGCACAAAAAAAGAGAACGTCTTCGTTAGCATTTCCTAGTGCTCAGCAAGTGCTCACTCTGTTTCCCTCCGGGTGCTCCGAGGGCGGGTGAAGCCTTTCCTTTTTCGTTCGGATATTATTCACCCACTCTAAAATCTACAGGTGTGGCCCTCGAGCAGCTGCTCCGTTCTTTCTACTCGTCCCGTTTCTCCCTCTCCTGCGAATGCTCTCCGAAATAGCCGCTTCCGAGATTCACCATAGAGGAGAGTTTCAGCTGTCCGATAGGACTTCGGAGGTGTTTGCTCGAAAAACAAGCGACGCCCGATTCAAGTTTCGAGCCGCCCCGGGAACACATGCCTCCCGACCGCGGGAGCAGATCGCACTCACCAGCATTGTGGTTCGAAGATCGAACTTGTGGAAGAACTGCGTGATGAAAATATGTATTTCGAGGACGTTCGTGACGTCCTTACGCTCCACGTCCCGTAAAACATCTATGAACCATTCGAAGTGCTTGTGGGACGGACAGATCCAGAGGAAGTAAACCTGAATGAGGAGATGAACGCGTGTCGGAAAAAAGTGAACCTCTCGGGCCTGACTCCGACGATCCGAAGAGCGATGAAGGGTTTTACCTTTTTGCAGGCGACGCCCGAGTATCGATTGGTCGAAGTTCCGAAAACCAAATCGTTGAGGATGGACGCGTACGGGGTCACTCCGATGCCGCCTCCCACCATTACGGCTACCTCAAATTTGTACCTAAACACAGAAAAAGAAGCGTTGATTCGATTAGCGCTCTCTCGGGCATGTGGAGTTTTTCTGCTGTTTTCTTTCTTCGTTCCGTGTCTCCCGCCGCCTGTGCGGATCTGTATGTTTTCCGTCCTGTGGTTGTATGTGCGCCTGTGTTCGGCGGCGGCGGCGCGGCTGTCCGCCTGTTTGCCCGAGGCCAATTGAGGCAGGGAGACTTACCAATCTTGGTTTCCACCTCCAAAGGGCCCCTCGAGACGGATCTTGGGAGCGGCACGCTCGGGCAGGTTGTTTGGATCGAAGTAGTTTCGGAGCTTCCACGTCCATGGGCCCTGGGCCTTAACGTGGACCGAGAGGAAGTTATCGTGCGGCGCTGATGTGAGCGTCAGGGAGTGGTACTCGTTTGACCGGAATCCGGTGCATGATATGCGAACCTGCGGTTCAAGTTACTCGTTAGTTCATTCCTCCCTCCGCCGTGTGCCCGCTCGCGTGCTCCCTCGCTGGAGTTCGGTGTCCGCCACCGGAGGGGTCGACCGTCTGATTTAGGCTATCATCGGTCACCATAATTTAGGCTCGAGTGACGATTCAGTGGGGCCGCAGTCGTTCTCGCGCGTCAAGAGGCGCACATTGGGGCGAGCGAGAAAACGTGAGGCACATCGAAGGGAATAAAGGAGGATCGAGGAATCGGCGTTTGAAGAGCGAAGGCTGTCAGCGGGAGAAATCGTTCCCGAGTTCCCGTACGTACTCACCCATTGACCGGAAAGATATTTAAAGCTCGGGGGCCGCGCAAACTTGACCTTCGTCACATCGCTGGGCAGCAGATCGGTTTTGAGGACCTCGAGCTCCATGAACTTGGTTTGGAGAGAGACGACCTTGTCGAGTACGAAAAAGATTCCTGGGATTATGAAGAAGATCCAGAACCGGGGACTCTGCAAATGGGAAGAACGGGATTAGCTGCGTCAGGTGGCGTCACGGAAACGAACGAGGCGAGAGAGATCAGGCGGGGAAGGTAGCCGCTCTGCGGATCCCCTTCTCCTTCAAATCCCTCCTTCCACATTCCCGGTTCGAAAGACGCTCTCTGCGCTCTAACGAGAGCTGTCATGGAAAGCTGTCGACTGTCAATGCGTTGAAAGGGAAGTAAGAAGAAAGTAAGTGAGTGAGCCGGAGAAGATCGATGCCCGCATACCCGCGTACGACTCACCCCGGTCAACTTGGCTTGTCCGTGGAGAAGGCACAGAATGTAGAATAGATAGTAGAGTTTATGGGTGGACCAGAAGTAGCTGTAGGCTTTCTGACGGATCCTCGGGTGGGCGAACACGTAAATCACGCTTAGCACGACGTAGAGCATGAGTCCGGTCGTCCCGGTTATCGTCTGGAACACCCAGAAGGAGAACTGCGACTTGAAGTCCGAGTCGAATTGCATCTCCTTCGTCATGCACCTCAGGTGCTCCGCCGGCTGGGTCGAGACATGGTAGAAGTTGATGTAGTGGCCGACCGTGTGGATGACTGTGGACGGGGCGAATATTATTCCTCGACGGCTCGCAACCACATTTTTGAAAATAGGATTTAGGTAACTTGCAATAATTCGAAATTCGGTTCTCGACTATTGAGCCGAAGGTGGAGAGCTCACAGGAAAATACCGCTCCGGTGTACGCCACGATCTTGTGGAACTGCACATGCGAGTCGAGCGGTATGTACTGCTGGATCGGTGTTTCTCGAACTCTCGTAATCAGGTTTCTGCACATCGTCAGGAGTAGCACGCTGTAGGCAAATGATAGAGATGCCGCCGAACCTCTGGTAATGGCGATTCCCGCCCCCATAACGTGACGCAGATCCATATGCTCTGCCTGATAGGCGTAATCTGAAAGAATCCCGAGTTTCAGAGCCCGCTCCGGTTCAAATATATCCATTCCGAGTTTTTATCAGCCCGCCGCCGGGAACTCCCCGAGGCAGCCATGCTTCCCCGAAAGAGGAAAAAGACGTTCGTTGTCACGAGGGTCGAAGAAGCAAACTCACAGAAGTAGCGCTCGAAGAATAAAACGAACGTCGTGACGTAGAAAACGAACAGGTAGAATATGTGCTGGCGGTTCTCCTCGAGGAAAGTCGCGATCTCATTCCATTTTTGAACCATCTTCGAAGGTCGCGGCTCATAGTTCTGAGGGATTTGGAAAGAAGTCATACGAGCAACGTTCGTTGATGTGTCCAGGAAGTTTTGGTTGGCTCCTAAAATTGAAAAGTTTCGCAATGTCAAACTCCATGTCAAACTTCGCGGTTGCTCATCGCGCGAAACACCTGGGGAAAGTTTTTCGATGCCACGGCTTCGCGTATCCAGCTCTCGGATATGACATTATCAGGATCGGCGAAACACGAGCTCGCGGACCGACGACGAGTCTACACACATACATATACCTGCTCGAACCCGGAGAGTTCGAGCGAGAATACTCCTTGGGTGGGAAGGATAAGACGACGCTGGACCGACGACGAGAAGCGGGGGTCAGCAATCAATTACCAGCGACGGCGTCGCTCAAAACAATTGAGTTCCAACAGCGCAAGCGTCGGAAGCGGATTATTGACAGCTCGGATTAACCTTATTGACCGTACGAGGGTAATAGCCTCACCCTTGCAGTCGAGTCCGATGGCGATGAAGTCTCCACGATATTCCTTCATGATTGCCTTGAAGTCATCGTAGTCGAGTCGATCCTTATTTTCCAGTCCAGCAGTCGCGAACATGCCCTGGATGATTTCCATGGTCTGGTGTTCCGTCAAGGAATTGGCCTTGGCGATATCGACGAGCGATCTCAGCATCTTCGTGAGCTCCTCTTTGTCGATGACGCCGTTGCCGTCGTTGTCACACATATCGAAGATGATCCGGAATTTATCCTCAGATTTTCCCCTGCAACAGAATAATGCGCATTGACGACTGAATACGCGGGGGAGAGGAATGCTGCGAAAGAGGAGGCTTCGTTCGGTCTAGTCGTCCGGATCCCTTGATCCAATTCCATTCAACTTCTCTGCAGGCATGTTTGAAGCCGTACAAATTCGCTCACTTGCCTCTGGTCGTAATGTCTGTTATCATCAGGCGAGACTTTCTCAATGTACGCTGCGTTAAAGCTTGCTTGCTCTCGTGTGTGTGTGTATGTATGTACATACATATGTGTCTGTTTTGGACGAGGGTTCATCACCGCCGACCACTGGCACCAATGAAAGCCAGACGGAGCTCACCGCCGCGCGTAGTCCTTCCCTCAGCAGAAGCTGTGCAGTCCGCTCTTTATCGAAATTAATTACGATTACCGCCGCGTGGAGGCTGTCGCGGAAAGCTCTGATGTCCGCCCGAGCCCGTCCCGCAATGTTGAACCTCGGCTTAGGTGGGGAGTTCGGATCAGATCCGGCACCGACGGGGAACTTCTCCATCACGCGGCCGCTTGATGGAATAGAAACAAGGAGCGGGTTCGAGAGCGGCGAACCAAGAGGAAAATCCTCGGTTGCCAGGGAAAATCGAAGAGTTGTTGATTCATTTGCTCGTGCGTTCCGCCGCTGCTCGAGCCTCCTCTATCTTTATTGCCAGCGTTGTCGTCGTCTTCGCCGCTGTCGACGTCATCGAGCGAGGGGTTGTTGACATGCCGGCTGTCATTTGCTCCAGACAAAGGAGTGAGTCGCGACTCCTCAGAGGCCATCCTCCGCTACTCCGCACGGTCTCCCTGTGCTCCTTTTAGATAGTTCGCTGAAACTGGCCGTCCGACCGACGTCCGCCGGCTGACTGGTTGCTTGGCAGACAGGCAACGGGAGAAATCTGGCTGGTGCTCTTACCATCGTCGTGCTAGAGGAACGAGCTCCATTCCCCGCTCGGGTTACAAATTACACCACCGCGGATGAAGACACTGTTAGACGAGCAGAGGAACGGGGAGAGGGGAATTCTTGGATCACGAGAGAAGAACGATGCGACAAACGATGCGACACACCATGATAAGGAGGCGCGGCACGAGAAACCGAGGAGAAAACAGCGCTCGCAAGTTACGGCATGCCCGGAGCGTCGAACACATACGCTTGGCCAGACAAGCAAATAATTCCCGAGCTTTTTTGTGCCGAGTCACCTCGCTGTGCATCTCATTGAATGAACCCCCAGTGTTTTTTCCCCGATTGTCACGGCAGGACGGGCTGCGAAACGAGTCACGCCGACTGAGATTCAGCTGGGGCGGAAGGGACGGTTGCCGGGAACGAACGCTCGGGAAAACGGCGTTTTCTACAATAATTTCAGTGGACGAGAACTTTTTTCGGTTTCTACGTAGGGCTGAGCGTCAATGCTCGAGACGGCTCAGATAGAGTTATGTCTCTTGTCGGGAGGAAGGAGGATATCGAGCTGTGAAAGGAATCTCGGGGCTAACGCGCAAAAATACTTCCGCTGAGGCTGTCTGAACGCCCAGCTCCCGGTCGCCCTCCAGAATGCCTCGGGAGAAGTCATACCTCCCAAACGGTCTCGGAGCGACGAATATCGACGACTTCGAAGGCTTCCTCATCTCGTAAGCTCTTCCATCCTTCCAGCGAACTCGATTCGAGACGGGGGATGGGGGAGCAGGTCGAGTTCGACAGCTGTTTCTCACCTTGTGAAGAGTACGACCGTGTCGAGAAACTCTTGGAATGAAATTCGACCGTCCTTGTCCTTGTCGACGCAGTTGAACATTTGTTTGACGAATAGCGAGTCGGGTTTCATGCCCAGGGCCTCCGCGAACTCTCTCTTAGACAACGAGGTCCGCATTACCATGATGACGTCGTTTCCAACTTGTTCAAGTTTGCGTTTCTCGCCAGGTTTGAGTCCGAAGGTCTGAAAAATGCATGAGGAAAGTTTGTCTCGGCAGCCAATCAGCGGACGAATTCGCTCAGTTTACGGGTTCAAGGGATTACGCGAGAAGCCATAGCGAACTGAAGATCGTGTCAGCCAAAACGTCGGAGAACTTTCAAGTTCCGACCGTGCTCGCTGTCAGCAAGATTCGGAGCAACGAGGTGGCTGACTCGCAGATGGGAGTGCACAACCGAGCGAAAGAAGAGTCTGCGTCGCTCCTGCGTTGGGAATCCGCTCGCTCGCTCGCCCACCCGCTTGCCTAATTCATTATGAAACAGAAAACGGGAAAACCGAGTGAAAGGTGGAGGAAGGCAAGTGTAATGCATTCACTCACTAGAGCGTAAGCTTCCCTGAAGAAGTGCTCGAGACGCTTCTGGCGTTTCTCCTTCGTCTCGGCATTGGCCAGCATCAATTCGCTGAAAGAAGGTGAGGCAACCTGTGTTACAATATTCATTATGAGATATTTTTCTCTGCCGTCTCGACACGTGGCGACGTCCGTACTCCATGCAGTTAGTTGGAGTGCATGATCGCTACTCGCATTATTCATCGGGGATGAATAGAATAATACTCTCCTCCGAGGGTGGGCGTCGACGGAAGGTCATCTTGCTAGATAAGCATAAGTCTTTCCCGACGCTCTCCTCCCCGATCATATGGTTTTAATATTTCCTCGCCGATTCAATCCAACGCTCTGACTTCGAGGTACGTACCGGCTCGTGCTCATGCATTCCATGGTCTTCTTGTGATCCACCAAGAATTTCTCCAACTTGCTCAGGAATTTCTTCCGAGAATGCTCCGAGTCGAATTGGAGAACCTGCGAGGGGGAACAAAAAATATAAAAGGCTTTCGGAAACCAGAAACTCGGAGCAGTCGGAGGAGAGCTCTTATTAACAGGACAATGAAATTCAGAGCCATCTGACTCGATTTTCGAAGTGCTCGGTCTTCGTCAGAAGAAGAGAGAACTTCTCAGGAACTCTGTCCTCACGAGATTCGAATTCCCGGAGACTCAGAAAGCGCGGACGAGCTCGGCGAGAGAATTCGCTTCCGGGCGTCGATCGACAGTCGAATTTCATGCCCAAGTCCTCGGCGAGCTCGACTGATCGAGGGAGTGTTCCCTCTGCTCGCCATGAGAATTATTGCGCAGTCATGACGTGAGCTAAACTCGGAAGGCTTAAGCCTGCCTGTGAAACGACGAGGAGATCGAGCGATGGGAAAAAACAGAACTATGGCGAAAATCCGCCTCTGGGCCCCGCATCAGGTGGACGGATCAGAGTTCGGAATCGGTTCCGATCGATACGTATTTCTGCCCATTTCTTTATTATACGATCCGGAAAGGGTATATTTCCTCGCGGGAGTTCTCGGAGGCGATCCCATTGGAGGTCCGGACATACGCAATCGATCCTCACCAAGTCATGATCCATTGGACTCCTGATCAGACACATCGGCTTCCGGGTCGTGTCCGAGGTGACCTGGACGATGAGCTGAGGAACGCTCGAGAACGAGACTTTGCGCAGCACCTCGCCCTTCCGGTTGACAGTATAAACGCTCTCGTCCGGTCCGATCTTGACTTTGACAAATCGCTTGTGGTTCTGGTGCAGCCATTCCTTGACATCTGTTGAAACGAGAAGAAGACCACCACTTAGAGCAGCAGCGATATCAGCACCAAACGAAAATGACAAACCCGACAAATCGGATCGAGCCACCGAGCGGGGAGCGCGGTCTGGGCTTCGAAAAGAACAGCGAAAAGCAGAAGAGAGAAATCTTCGTCCGGGCCAAACTATCCTGGCAGGAAGACCATTCTAATTGCATCGGAGCCTCGACTCGACCGATCGACGCGGAACAGCAAGCGCGAAAATACAGACGCGAAAAAGATGTCAAGTATAACGTACACAGCTTATCCTGGGCTTTTCCTTTCTTGACAATGTCCTTCTTTTTGATGTCCCGTCGACGTTTGTTCTGCAGTTTGATGACACCGTAGCCGGCCATCCCACAAACTGTAACACAAGAAAAAGCGGATTTAGAGTCGACGACCGAGAGAAGCGGACTCTGAATTCTTCCGAGTCGTCGTTCGTTCGTTCCTCGGACGTTTTTCTTCCGTTTCTCCTAAATTTCGTTTCCGGTCCGCTCGCCGCGGCGAAATGTGCGCCGCCGCCTCGCCGGCCGGTTCACTGCCAAACCAGCGAGGCGCGCCGTACTACACCATGCGGCGATAGCGACAGAGTCAGCCAAGTGGAAGCGGACCTGTCACCGCTCATTCGACCAAATGACAATCTCCGACGGTGAAACTTCGGACGCGAGCGTTTGTCGCATCTATTTTTCTGCAATGTGGAGAATATGGAGCCCGATGTGCGGCTGAAGTGTTGCGACCGATTGATCGCCAAGCCAACAAATCGATTCTCCCACGGGGGGAGCCGAAAACTCCTGCACGAACGCTGCTTCATGCGGATGAGTCTCCGGCCAGAAATTCTCCTCCCGATAACGTTCACGCTATCGACAAACAGCTAATCGAGTTTTGAACTCTGGTCTTCAACGGCCGGTCAACGGTGACAGGACACGACAATCACTGAAGTATAGCAGATGGAAACGCCGAGCCACCGTCGGAGCAGGGCTCACGCGGGGTCGGCAGGGAGCAACTCACTAATTGGGATGAAAGCCAAAATTAGGCAGCAGTAGATGTAAACAACTTCGTTTCCTCGGAAGTAATCCCAGCCTTCGAGTATCATGCATGGTTCAAGGACGGTGCTGTTGATCTGCGCTGGCTGAGGGCAAGGATCGCCTGAGGGAAAAGGAGAAAATGAGCGACTAAATACTTTCCATATTGACGGCCCAGGTCAAGACGTCAAGACACTAGTTCTGGGATGGAATAATCATCGCCAGCGCTCAGCATCAAGCAACCTGACGGGCCACAAAGGACATTCTCTATCGTTGGAACCGCATCCTGAGATATTTGACGGATATAAGTATTTCATTGACATCGGCTATTGTCCCAATCAGCGATTATTGAACAGCCGAGATGGGGAAAATCGTTGATAATAACGACTTGGGCGGTCACGCAGGCAGACGGGCGTCGTAACAAGCAAAGATCATGGGGGGTGAATGAGGAGGAGCAGCGGGCGACAACGCCGACAGAGGCAATCATCTTGCCACTTTCGGTACAGGAAGTCTTCCCAGGAGAAATCGACGACGAGATCGGAGGCCTCATCGTCGCCTCCGCTCGCCTCCGGCTCGCTGTTCATACATAGACGACTCGATCCCGCGGCTGCAAACGGTCCCTAAAGGAACATCTTGCCCGGTCATCGGCCAGTTCGGCAGTTGCCAACCGACCACTCACAAGGCAAACCCCGGACCCAGCGAACCGGATAGTTTCACCGATGGGATGGCGGTGCTGCTCCCCTCGGCTCCGGACCCCCAGGCCCCCGCTTCCATCGCCCCTCTCCCCTTCGAAACGTCCCTGAATGGGAGGTATTCCGGCCGCTGCTAGACAGGCAGTTCGGTGCATTGAGGGAGGTAATCTTCCGTTGAATGGTGTCCGCAAGAATCTTTAACGACGCGTACCTTCACCGTGGATGAACACGTTCCTCTGTATGGCTTCGGGAGAAATGTTGTCGGAGGCGTTGACGATGACGTCCCACAACGTGATTTTCCTAATGTTCTCGATTTCTTCCCTCGTAAATAGACCGTTGTTGGTGTTCTCGAACCAGAATCTGTCGGCATCCCGAATCCGCTCGAACTGTTCCTTGATGATCTTCCGGAAGAGCTCTCCCGGTCGACCGCCCTCCGACTCGAGCATCCCGCCGACGAAGAGATCGATATTATTCAAGTTACCCTTGTAGAGCGTGTACAATCGCTCGATGAGCTGCAAGGTCATAGAGAGAACATGGTTAGATCAGAATCCTACTCCTCCTCGTCGTCGTCGTCGTCGTCTTCGTCTTTTTATTGCTTCCACGAACAGAGACGCGGAGCCGCAGGAACGCGTTTCTGAGCAGACTCGGCCAGGCAGAACCGACCGGCTGAGCCGACCAGTAGCACTCCAATCTGCCCCCGTGTGAGAAATGAGTGCGTGAGCACAATTGCGCCATTTGTCCTGAAATTATATCCGCCCTGGGCGACCCTGGACGTCTCTGTACGACTGAGTCCAGCAGGCGAGCGAGCCGCCGGTCGGCCCGCCAAACAGGCTCGAGCTCGCCGGTCGAGGAGCCCCACTCCTCCATTTCGCTAACCAACCATCTACGGGAGTAAAGAAGCGAGCCGAGAGACAGGCGCACGGCCAGGCAGAGCCACGACTCGATAAATTGGACAAACCTCTTGATTTGCAGATTTGAGCTTTCCACCGATGGCTTGCCAGTCCAATACGGGATCGAGATTGAAGTATTTCCGTACGGTGTTGTAGTCCGGTAGACCGCTGTCACGTCCACGCATAATATCCAATGCCGCCAAATCTCTGCGGCTGAATTCCATCGGACCGAACAACTTGTCTGCAATGGAAAATTTGTCAGAAGACGATGGCAAAGTCAATCGGTTTCACTTGAGAATCTCGGGAGTCGTTGACCAAGACAGGAGGCCGCCAACGAGAGGCCTACGGTCCAGGGCAGGGGTTCCAAAATCGTGGTCCGTGGGGCCTCGTATTGTGACCCGGAAGTATCTCTCCACGAACTCGGCGCTAGGTCAATCCCGAGGGCTCTGCGACAGCCAGAGCGCGGAGCATCGTTTATTTCGTTCCACGAAAAGTACTTGAGGAACCTCGGTGCCGAGGGCAGCAGATCATGCATTTTCTCGCTCCTCGCATTCCTCGTTTTGGACAAGACGTCAACTTCTCCATACGGAAGCGAGGCCCACGGGTTCCCCCGGCGCTCATATATGGCCAGCCAAATTTCCAAGTTCGGCACCCCAGGTCTAGGGCATAAGGAGTGACGATCGACATTAAGTAGGTAGCGAGAGCCGCGGCATCGGCGGTGAGCAACGACATAATTGCTCCTCTCCTTTGATGCGGCTCCGAGCCGGAGCTTCTGAACGAGGATGAGACCGAAGGAGAAAAAGAAGGAGGACGGAAGACGCCCCCTTATCTAGCTCGTCGGCCGGCCAGCCAACACGCTGCTTGATTAATGCCTACACTTCGCCCGGCCATCATCCAACTACTTCTACAACTGCTGCTGCTTCTCCGACGTCTTATCGCGAGGACGAGCGATGGGCTAGAGTGAAGCTCGCGAGAGTTGGAGAGCAACCCCACGAGAAACAAAGAAAGCAAGAAAAATAACAGATAAGACAGGCCCCGCCGTCGCTTCTGCTGTTGCCGATGTCGAAGGTAGCGTGGGAGGCGACCCTACTCACCTCGAACATCCGAGCACATGACGTGATCTTCTTTCTCGGCGATTTGTGACGACATTCCCATCAGAAGTTCGTCGATGCCATTTTCGAGAAGCACTTCCTCGGACAGCCACCACGTTGAGCACATTCGCATCGCGCTTCGGCCCGTCCTGGTTTTCGGGAATGTGCAATTAGCGGTCCTGAAAATTGGGATGCAACGATGACAAAACGCTCCCCGGTCTCGTCCGATATCTTCGGAGGCTCTCTGGAAATCTCGGCAGTACAGCGATCATAGCAGCACAGAATGTGCGAGCCGTATTATTCTCACAACTATCGCCGGGTTGGCTAGTTTTTTTTTTTCTCAACATCAATCCGCGTATCACATGACTCTCCGCTCTTGGTTGCGTTCGGCGTGAGATTGCTCCAGGTGGGATTTCGGCTGATGAATGTTAATCCAGAATACAAATGGAATTCCTGACGTTCTAATAAACGTCGGCCGTCGATGACTTCTTTCATCATCGGCACGCCCGGGAGCGAACGGGGAACTTTCCGAGCCGATCAAGCGCTCCGAGAACTTCGAGCTGCCGCAGCAATAAAGCTATTGAGAGCGAATCCATTGACGAACACGAGAACGATCAGACGAACGAATGAGCTCGGAGAGAAAAAGAGCCCGCCAGCTTGAGAATCGAGAACGAGTTGTCAAAGTAGTGCGGGCATCCGCGGGAAGGTGCGGAAACGGTGCTCCCTCCGTCGTCCCTTTGCCTCCCTTGCGAGATTCCTGTCTTTCATGGCGCTCACTTCCATTGCGAAATTCGTTCTCCAAAAATACGAGCCGATCCTTCCGGCTGCCTTCGTCCTCTTTTCGCCAGCCCTCGAGTATAGCTGCTTCTCCCGCTCCTCGTTCCTCTCTGGCCCCGGTACACCTCATCAGGACGTACAGGCGCGCATTAGGATAACGTTCTGATCATCATTCGAAGCCGTGATCAAGCGATCCATCGTGAGGTTTGTGGGAATGATTCGAATAAAGTCTATAGACGATTGAAATCCGTCATTGAGTATGTTGTCCCGCGGACGGCACACAGCTTGCGAGTCTAGAAAAGGTCGAATGATGATAAAGCAGCAAACCTTCGATACAGTCCCGGCGGGATCGAGGTATGACTGAAACGGAACGCAGCAGACTGGAACTCGTGGCTGATCCCTGGATGCACGTCGGGCTTGTAGCCACGGTAAGGAGAAACAGGCTCGTCGAGAAGTGTGGGCACGTATTCGTACATGATGATGTTCTGGAAAGCAAAGGAAGTTTCGCTAACTTAACGGAATCTGTATCGTCCCCACTCGAAACGTGATCGCGCTCCCCGGATATTTCCACTTTTTCCCGCCTTCGAGGTCGTTTATCATTCACCATGACAACTGACTCGATATGCAAGCGTTCGGGAACGAGATTGTCTCGCAGGACATCACGGGGCACCGCTTGAGGTACGCGTTGCGCTGTGAGTGACTTAATGGCTTCTTCTGAAAGACTACCGGAATTCCGCCCTCGCCTCAATCGGCTCCCTCGGTCCCCTTGTGAGGAGCTGTCACCGTTACACCGAGGGAACTGCGCCATACACGAGGGGAGGAGGGTTGCTCGGCTGCTTAGTTGGTTCGTTGGTTGGCTGTCCGGCTGACAGGGCTCCTTATCTGTCACACAATGTGTCATTCATTCCTCCGCCCGCCCGTCCATCCATTCATCTGCTCTCGTTCTTCACTTTGATTCTTGCCTATTGCTACAGCGTTCGGTCGGACGCTGGGGTTGCTCGAACTGATGGAAATCGAGGTATCACCTCGCACGAGATGGAGGCGCTTCAGCACGGTGGTAGCGTGGGGTTGAAGCTTGTTTAGAGACGGGAACAAGGACGAGGTCAGGATGGAAGTTCGTCGCGTTGCTCATTACCCTTCGCCTGAATCGAGCAATTTCGAGAGCGTTCCCTAAGCCCGGAGCTTCCGACGGGCCGACCCATCCCTTTGCTCGCTCGGTCCCGTGACCAGCACCCCCTGTCGACTCGCGCCCTGGCACATCCGACTCTGCCGTCGTCTCCTGGTGCCAACGCAGGCGAACTTTCCAGCTGATTCGCACGAAAAGCGCCGCCACGCTCGCGCATATGCCACATACATGCATGCAGGAGATGAACATAATCAGTGCAAAGCGCCTTCTGGATTCTTTCCATCAGCGACTCTGCGCGCTTTCCCGGCTCGCGGGAAATCCCTCGCAACCCCTCGTGGTGCCTATCGCCGCGAGATGAGGACCCCGGATCCCGGAGGATTGAACGCTATCCTTCCAAAAATGCTCACCTGTAACGACGCGATGACCCAACGTCTTGCGTAGAGGAAGATTTCCTCATCGCTCCAATCGGGATGATCCCTGAACGCTCTCTTGGCGAGAACATTGTGCCAGCGATGGAAAAGTATGCCAAAAGCCAAGATCCCGGGATTCTGATTCGTCCGAGGATCTCCGAGAACTACAGGAATAGAACGTTAATGATTCGTGGCGTTGGAACCGATGGGGGTCGAGTAGACATGGACAGAAGCATGCATGCGACGAGAACAATCGGTTTTAGTTGGACGTCAAATTTTTTTTTTCGTGTGAGTCTGTCATGCACGGAGCGAATCGACTGACATCAATCGAAGGTTAGCTCATTGTTCGGTGTTACTATCCGCATTCGGAGTGTGTTCGGCTCAATCGTGTCCGTGTGCGTACATCGGTGAATCTAGGGGGAGACCTAAGCAAGCCTCATCGCCCTTGATGGTTCTCGGTGAGGACCTATATAAATGTACGCCGCGGAGAACATTCAGACGAATGCTTATCGTCCATGTCCAGCCTAGGCATACATACATACAAACATAAACACAACGAGTCTGCGGGGAATGCCCTGGAACGATCCGCTGAGTCCGAGCTTTCACCTCATGAGTTCGCCCTCACAGGTTGGCCGGAACGACTTATCGCTGAACTAACGATTGGGGCTCCGGTAACGAATCTCTGCGTAGAACCTCCGCCGATCAAGCGACGTCGGGGGAACGGACGGTCTCGCGACGGGCAGATGAACCCGCGGGAGCTTGAGGGAAGGGAGATGAAACTCGATTCACCCGAGCGATGTTCACTCGAGAGATGGACGGCTGTCAATAGACGCGCCGATTCGGACTGCCTCGCCGGTCGTTCTCGATGTACGCTCCACGATATAGCAAGGTATGTCGATGGAACATCTGAGTGATAAGGTCCCCGAGGATGTGAAATTGAAGAGGTTTTCTGCGAAGCGGCATCCCGATCGTCGAAATTATTTCCAGGAGCTCCGAAGCGTACTTCTCGAATATTCATTGAGGAGAACCTGGTGGAATCGTATTATCCTCCACGAGCTGAACATCGAGCGGAGTGAGCTCTAGGAAAATAAGCGCGTCCGGGCAACTATGTATTATTATATCAATATTCAGCTACACACAAGAGGCAGTGCCTCTGAGGCACGCATCCACCGAGAAGCGGTGGCCGTCAACGCGAGCGGGGTACTTTTTCGTCATCACCGCTCCGAGGGTGTAGAACCAAAACAATTAGACCCCCGATCTCTCGAAGGAGCAAAGATCGACTATCCGCCGGCCGGCTGAGCTGGAGGAAGGTCAGGAACTCGTCGGGCGATAGATCGAATTTATTATAAGCGTGGAAAGACTAAATTTCATAAATCAGACATCCCGTTTGGTGGGCCACCGTAGGCGGGTGAGTGAGTGGTCTGTTGGGCTAGTAAGTTAGTGTCAGTTCCTCCGAGTAAGCTGTCCTCCCAAATCCTAAGCTCAACCTGGAGCGCTTCCGCCTCCGCTGCGGGAGACTACTAGAGTGAATTAAGAAGAGGCGAAATAGTCGTGCGACTTTACGCCCAACAGCTATCCTATTTTGAATCATTTGAGTTGATATCGGACTCCCCCTCCTAGGGTCCCGCGGATGCGCCACACTGAAGCCGAACACCAGACAGTGAACAAACCGACCGAGCTCACAAACAACACATGAGAATCAAGCAAACGAAACAACCTCGACAACATCGAAAGCATTCAACTGCTGTCGGACATGCGGCCGATCGCACGCGTAAGAACCGTCCACCAAATGATTGCAGCCATGCTCAGGCACGACGTGGACTACAATTTCCGTCTCAGCAATTTTGCAAATTGGCACTTACTGAACATTCTCTCTGGATTCATAATGCCCAGGTAGCGGGCGGGTGGCGAATTAAACAGTGGAACCCTCTCTCTATTTCGCGGGGGCAACTTGCCTTCGGTTGTACGAAAAGTACCGTTTTTGAACGATCTCATCGTGTTCACCCACGTCTCCGATGTTGAATAAACGAAGCTGCCGTCTATCCACGACGTTCCCATGTTGATCTGGAAATCGGAAAAATTGACACAGCGCCTCAATTGAGCCCGTAGAACTGATTAGCAGACAATCGGTTGTTCCGATAGATCGGGATTCGATTGAGTCGGCAGGATGGAGATCTCCAATGAGCCGAGCGTGTAGCAAAGTCTACGAGAAACACCCCTCTGTGACATTGCGCTACTAGTCAACCCCTGGGAATTTTGCGATGGCGGTCGAGCTCGGCAATACAGGTTTCAGGGGATTGCCGAAGGATTCGTGCTAAGGTAATTGCCGTAGGCTCTTTTTGGCATCCAGACGGGCGCTTCAGCCCTCGGCAACCGAACTTGTTCCGCCACCGGCTGACTGGGAAAATCCCAGCGAATTTCTTGGGTATGCTACACGGCACACGGCTGCGGCGAAGCAAATAAAGGGAAATCCGAATGCATGGGGCAAATACAACTTCGCTCAGGGAAAGGGTACCACGAGGACCTCGAGAAAAGAGAAACAAGAGTAGGTGGTCCCGGCAGTGTTCGGTTTCTTCACGGCGCCACACGGTACTTCGATCTCGTTCGAGGGTGATTCGTTCAATCGTTAAGAGCTCATTTCCGAACGATGAGGCTCCGAGCTTCTCCCCAACCTACAGCGAGGGCTCGACACGACGACGACGATGGCTCGTTCATGAGGATAAAACATGTTTCAATATCGGGACTTTGTCATCATTTGCAAAAAATCGTTCCGGCTTACGACGCGCACGAGATTTTTTATGGGTCTGTGTATGTTCAAATTTCACAATGGATCTCACGTACCTGTTCTCTCGGGTTATTCGGTGACTGACCCGTCTTGGCGTCGTATATGGCTCGATGGAAAGGCATGAACTTCTCGCCGCGGCATTTTTTATCATACATTTCGTCACACCGATTGATTTTTATGCGATGGAACTCAATTGGACAACCAGGCTCGCTGGCCATAAGCACTTCACTAGATATCATTTGGCCTGAAAGACAAAGCTGTGATGTGATCATCGGTCTCCAATGCGAGAATTCGCTCCTCTCGAGGGGATGTGCGAATTCTAGACCCCTTCCAGCTGTTTTGTCATCAGTCATCATTACATGAACCTAAAGTACAGATATACCGGATGGTCTCCGACTTCTTAAATGGACCCACGCGGCAAGGGCCGGCTGAGTTCCTCTCATCAATACTATGGACATATATCATATATGTACGCTTCGCTTAACGAAGCCAAGACTCCCGAACTTACCGAAGAAAACGAAGAGAACAGTTAGATTACGCACTGAGGGCAAACCATCCTCGCCTTTCATCAGTGCCTGACTTAGAATCCGAGGACTGGGCCGGTCCTCGCCGGCAATCATGTAAACTCCGTCTGCGTACGAAGATGGAGCCTTCCGCACCAGTTGACTCTCTGTAAGAAATTCTACCTTCAGAACAAGTTTCTCTCGTGACTCGTGAGCGCGCCTCGATGTTCATCGGCATCCAGAGATTCCCTGGGTGTCCGCAGACGGTTCTCCGGCAAGTCCCAGGCAATGAGCAACTGCGACAAACGATTCCCTGTGCAAACAAGATGTGCGAAATATTTATACGTCGATTTCCTCTCGAGTATGTGAAATTCCAGTTTGATCAGATCCGCGCCGGCATCATTGGAACATCGCTCGGCTCTCCTCCGGGGAACCATCCACGAGACCGATCTTCCGGAAGAAATGGGTTTCAGGTATTTTTCTCGGAGAAGCTCCTCTAAAATCGTGCGGAGATTCTCGGGATTTGTTGCTGGCTGTGGTCCAAGTGAATTCGCGGCCGATGCTGCGGTGGTCCATCGAAGCTTACGCTCGTCGGTGGACCGAGCCGGCCGGCCGGCCGGCACCGCCATTTACTGCGCTCCCAGTAGCGGAATGTTTCTCGGAGGATCAGCAGTTCCGAGGTCTCGTGGCCTCAGCGGGGATAATCACAACTTCCTCGTACTGGGCCACCTGATGTAGGTTAGAAATCTCTCCTCTACTTCGCGAAGCCGCTACGAGCGGCGAAGGAGGGGTAGAATGAGGAGTATTCTTCGGGAAACAGTAAGCGGGAGGTCCGTGGGAACCGCGGTTTCAGACTGCGAAGATCCGTAGGCGCGGACGTCGCGAAACTCGATCAGTAGTTCATTCGGTCCCTGTGGGCTCTCCCGTTGGGAGTGGATGCTCCACTCGAACTATTAGTATTGACGGTGACAGCCTGATTCGAAATTCTAACGCAACCGCGATTGCTGCACGGAACACGGATCAAACATGAAGCGCTTTGACGATCTTGAGCGTCGGTCCCTCGGACCTCATCGCGGATACTCAGGAGAAGAGACCCACTTTGTGGACCTACCATGTCCGATGATTGACTGGGTAAGACACCGTCCGAAAAGCGGACCTGCGGCCGTGGAAGGGCCGGCGGTATAAAAAGTGTCTATATGGAATCTTCTCCGATGATTACATCAAGGATTGGTCTTTCTGGTGGACCGCTAGTTGCATAAATGGCAGACAAACAAGCCAAGTGGTAAGCCAACCGTAACGATGCCGCAGTTGCAATGAGATCCGATCTCATTCCAGACGTTTCGCGATATGGGCGCGAGAAAGCGAACGAGAAGGCTTCTTTGTGACTCGCGTGCTGTCTTGCTTTGGTGATGGGCGTTGGCGGTCGATATCATGCGATTAATCGAAAACATTTCATCAAGGGACCCTTGCCAACTCGGGCTCGCGAATTCGATTGCCGTGGAAGAAGCCGGGCATCGCTGTCGATCCAAGTAGAACAGCCTGTCCGGTCGCTCACACCATGGACGGCGATATGAACGATGACTCCGATGTGCTCCTCGCTATTTCATAAGTCGGCGTCGCCGCTGCCTTATCCGACACAGTCTACACCGTGCAGAAAGCAATCGTATCGTTCTCCACTTGCGGTCTCTGGACGCTCGTCCGTGTAGGAAGGATAATTTTTATCCTTACCAGGTACTTATCACAATATATGTATTCCCTCTGGATGCCAACCGTGTTTTTCTTTGCATGTTCGAATCAGTGTCCGCGAACCTACTACGGTGTTCTACTTGGCCAGGGTCACGATTCTTTGACAGATCATCCTGTGGGCCTGACGGCGATCGATTCCTTGTCATCCTGTAACTCTGCCAGGGATGGATCGAGTCATCGCTTGGACATCGACATGGTAAGCGAGTACACACGAATCGGTCTCGTCCGAGCAGTTGTCACATCCATTCTTCTTCTGCAACTTCCAGACTATCCTAATTGACCGCTGTACAGAGGACACACTGGATGCATGGGGGACGAAGGGATGAATTTCGCAATGATTCCCCGCTGAGCCAAGAAGGGATGGATAGATCCTCTGTGGGCAAGGTAACACCCTCGGGAGACTCCGTTGAATACTCTATCGAGAGAATATCGACAGCTTTCGATGAACCATGAATTCTTTGATATAATACGATAATAATCAGCGGCCCGGAATGTCGAGAAAACTCCTGGGAACGTGAGAGCATTCCAATCATCTTTGAATGGGGAGCAAAGGAACCCCGGAACCCGACGACCAAGCGCGAAGGCATCTGACTACCAGTTGGAGCTGTTTCCAATAATATCAAGAATGGTATCCCCGAAACATGCAAAGTTCGTCTGTGGTCCTTCCCATTTTGAATGGGACCGAGAAGTCTCGTCAGGTCATGCCGTGAAGAGGACAATGGTTTCCTCTGTCTTCTATCATTCCCCCCTGTCCTCCTGTCTCTTTGAAGGAATATTGCAGAGAACAAGATAAGAAAGTTCAGAATTTATGGTGGTTCGCATGGTATACTTTTCGAGGCAACAGCTCCTTTAAAGTCAGCGCAAACAGAGCGAGCTGTATATATCGTCTTAGCTGGCGAATTTCAAGATAAACGGATTCGACCCCGGGATGTCTCTGCGCTCGACTACGGCAGAGTCCGTGGGTCTCTTCCTCGGTGGCTCCATCGCCTCTGTCACGTCACGAGATGGCGGATTAAAGGGCCGGCTTAAATCGTTCTAACAAATCTCGACTTCGCATGGACTTACCGACGGCTCCCCAATCCTGGTGCGCGAGATTGTTATACCATCCGTCATACCTCTGTTTCTCGGTGTGAACTGTGTGCCGTACAGGCGAATACTGTTTTGCTGCAATGAAAAGAAAAAGTCACGTTTAGTCAATTATCAGAATTTCCCTGTAGCGATGTTTTCTTTCCTCATCCCATGAACAACTCGGACTGACACGCCAAGACTCTATCACCGAGAACAATCGCGGCAGAAGAAACCATTTCGAGACGGAGCGTGAATGTCTCATGGCTCGAAAACGCTCGGATACCGGGAATTTTAATGAGTCTCTCGAGCTTCAAGCTCCTTGCCTCGGAGGACATCTTCGAGGAAGCCGAGAGGAGTCGAATCCATAATGTGCCCCGCGAACGACGCGAAATCCCTCGCTGACTGAACTTCCATTGTGGGTAGTTCGGTTGTAAAATAAATCCGTTGACGGGCCGAGCTGCGTAGCGTCCACAATGATTCGTTTCATAAATCGTTTTCCCCGCTCGTAATTCACGCTATCTATGTAAACGCTAGATGTTGACCGAGCCCCGAACCGCTTATGTCCTCTCCATCGCTACGCGAGAGAGCGATTCAATCCTTGTTCTGATAGCAAGTCGGAAAGATTATCGTGGGAGTCAACCTCTCGTCCTCTCGGAATATCGCCGAGCATGCCCTTCAAGTGACCGACAAGCCGATTGATTCACCCCCCGAAATGATCGTCCTCGTCGGTTCGAATATCAATTTGGCGACGGACCCCAGATTTGAATTCTCCCTCATCAGATTGAATCAGACGCCTCGAGAAATATACATACAATCATTATGATGTGAGATATGAACATAAATAATTCATATCCCTGTCCATATTTAGATACATAGTATGTCACGAGATTTACTTGTATATACTTATATTTCCTCACTCCATGGACACTCGAGTCGGGAGCTTGGGACTTCCTTCTGAACATGACTACGGATCCTCCCCGGAACTCCTCGATTTGTACCTCTACCAGAACCTCTTCCAGGATGAGCTCGCCGCCCTCAACTGCAGGAGGAGGGGAAACTGATGCGTCGAAATGGATCGCGCTAGCCATATTCCATCCCAGCTTGTCCCACGCATATCCTTCCGCGAATCGCCCTCGGAGCCAACATGAGGACGCTTTCTTTGAAGACCCTCATGAGACCTTACGAGAAGCTTCTGACGATTCCTCAAAAATGGCTTCGTCCAATGAAGTCGAAGGGGAGACGAGAGTGAAAGGACCCGAGACTATTTTTTTCTTCATCATCCCGGTCATCTCGAGTTTCACGATCTTCGGCTCAAGCGCTCGGAGTTCCATTCCATCTATTTCTGTCATATCGGTGGACCGGGATCTCTTCCGGGGAAAATTCGGAGTGATGAACTCTTTTGCGATCTGGACGGAGAGTGCCGCGCGCCGCGCGGGTCATTGACGAGGAGAAGTTTTCAATGCTCGTGGCTGTCCTTCGACTTGTCGAATTCTCCCGCCCGTACCGAGAGGGGATCATTTTCTTTTCGACTCGCATTATGAGATGATTCGTTTCGACGCGGAATCATGATAGTATCTGTCCTGCTTTCTATGTATTCGACTTCTCAATACGCCACACGGTACCGACGGCCGACTGGAGCGAATCGGCGATCTTTCCGAGCAGCTCACAGATAGAGAGACCTCCTTACCACTAATCACCCAGAGCCAGAGAATGATGAACAAGCAACGGCTCACCAGGCACTGTACTCCGACTACCTAGGCGCGGGACTCTCGAATTTTCCTTCGACGGCCTTTCATCCCGTTGTGCCTCCGGCTCGAATCTCCTAAGACTCGTAAAAATGCAGCACTTCTCCAGATTTGTCCACAGTTCAGCGAACGTCGAGTTATATCTCGCCCTGGGGATTTGCGCGCAGTCAATGCCGAGCGACTCGACTGCGTTCCCGCGCCGACTAAGCGACTTCGTGGAAATAACCTGGGTGAAAAATGACTTGAAGCAGTCTCGGGAAGCATATTGAAGCACCAACAAGTGACTGCGGAGGAGGGCGATTCTGGGGGAAATGATATGATCGGCTCCAGAGGTTCTAAATGCCGGGTCGGCTTTTCCAGATTCCCCTCACTCCCGTGACTATCGACTAATTCCCTTGAAGTGTGTGCCATCTCAGAGAGACTGAGTGTCTATGATGTGATCGCAGCGGATCATTGGGACGTCCATCTGCATCCCTCGCAGATTCGATACCGTGTTGTTCAGGCGGGGTCGAAAATGGAGGAGAAATAGACGATCGATAGTCCGTTGAAGAGAAGTACCGGTAACTCTGCGCCTGGGGAATGTATCAGAAAAGATCGGGAACCGGTATAGCGATGCAACCGGAGCAATAGTTCCGGTTATCGGAATCTCTCTGATTGTAGCAATTAATCTACAGGGCGCCATCTCGTTTTCTACATTTCTAGTTCTTTCCGATAGCCCACGAACTCGTTCTCGACTCTATTGTCAAATAAGATTCACGACGTCCTTGCATCGGAGATTCCTCTCCCAAGTCTCCGTTCAGGATCATCATCGATGCCGAATGTCGCAAGGACCAAAGCCCATGCCGATTTGGGGACGCGAACTGAGGAGCGGTCACGAGAAAACTAAAATCCGAGTTCTTAATTCCTCCCTGCTATCGCATAAATACCCGGGAAGTCGGCGCGCGAGAACAAGCTTGTTGCTCTCGCATTTTCTGCAATTATAGACTGTACCGACAACAGCTCAGAGTAGAAGATGGTGCGTCGATAGAAGGTGCCAATGACCTGATCACGAAGATCGATCAGTTTGGCGCCCTCGAAGGCCTCGGTGGGCGTTTCTATCGCCGGGATACCGATTCAGCACAGAACGAACACGCGAAGACAGGAGGGGAAAATCGCAGGTTTTTGTGAAAAGAGCCATACATCAACATCCGTTCGAAAAAACTATGACCACGAATCGGTGAAATGAGCTCGGTAGCAAGAAAGTAATCTACCGGAGCACTTCGCTTGTGTATGCGCTTACTTCTGTCCTGGCCTACCAGGGACATGGTCATCCGTGTGGACGATTGATCACATCCGTTCATGACGCCTATGTGACGAGGAGACACAGTTATGATTTCACTCCATGAGCGCTACCGTTGGCTCCGCAAGGCTGCGTCGAACGATCGAAAGGAGGTCTTAATGAACAAGAAGCGCCGCGATGACGGGTCACCGCCGACTCGTTCCGTCTTGCATCTTAACGATGTCGATGTTTATGGTATTAGCATAGCACGATCCCTGTTGTTAATTTGTTGTCGAAACCACACCCATCGGATGTTGCGGATTCATTAGAGCGAATGATGGACATTCTCACGAACGGATCGAACGGTTCGATTGATTGGTCCGTCTCAAATCCGTCTCTCGACGGTCAGTCGGTCGACGAAACGAGCTCATCCCCTCTACGCAACCCCAGTCATGACCCAGACCATGCGAATCAGCACGGAAAGTACCTCGGAAGTTCCGCGCTAATCCAGCCTGGCGAGCATGACAGCAGTAATACAAAGAATTCCTCCAGGATACAAGCTCGAATCGTTGGAAGGATATATTTTCTATCACATGTCTGCTAAAGTCGCGCGTGAGTGCAGCGAGAAAATTCTCTCTCAGCAAGTCTGAAGGCCAGCGCGGATAACGGTCGACTAGGTGGAACTTCCTGGAATGGTGGGCGAAATCTCCGGCACTTAGAAATGAACGCTTTTGTGCATCGATTCGTTCACCGCCCGGATACCGCTGGCATGTCGACTCACCAACATCACCAGATTGATTGTGAGTCCCGCCTTGATGGTCTGTTGGGATGCTAGATCGTCTTCCCGAATCCCCCGGTAGACCGTTTTTTGACTCGGTCCTGTTCCCGGCGAAAGTTTCTAAGTATGATGACTGTCCTGCTGTTGCCCGCTAATCGTGATTACATGACACGCGACCGCGACTAGGAAGCTTCCCTGCCGGCCATGCAGTGTAGAGCTTGAGGTTTCCAGAAAAGCGGTCGCTCAGCCTCCCTGCGTACACAGAGATCAGGACCCGATGTCTGGACTCTCACGCACGGATAGTTTACTGGAGACCGCATTCATGCAAGGAATCACAGAGTCTTGGTAATGATTCGCTAGAGATGAGCCCCTCCCTCAACGGAATCGAAAGAGGAATGCATGACTTCTGTCACTAGGATACTCCGTCCCTCCGTTTTCGTGCCCGAAAATCACGGTCGAGGATTTCCGGTATGCGGTTGGTGTCCTGACAGCCGTGGCGGTTCCGTCAGGGTCGGTGTTCGTTCGTCTAGCGGGTCCTCCTTCCTCATTTTAATATTTCTTCTCTTCGTCCGTTCTCTGACTCCGCACCGCCCAAAAGTTGAGTAGCGGTTCCCGTGTTGGAAGCATCATGACAATTGTGAAGTTTGATCTCTGTGAAAATTTCAGTAGACGAAAAATGAGCGGCGCCACGTCAACGTTTCGGAGACGAAGACAGTTCCGGCGACGACATCAACTGTCGCTTGAATCCAACTAATGACAGAGCGACACAAAAATGTTCTCGCTGTCGTGTTCGGGACCACCATCAGAGCTTGTAGCCTGAGGGGCAGATGGATTGAAGTTGCTTGTCCACTCGGCCTGTTCGTGATGAGCCACTAAATCTTGGTGGAGTTTTTCTTATATGGGATTTTGGTCGCGTGGAGGGCTAGGGAGCGGCGCGTGCAGAGCCCTGTATGTATCTAAGTATCCCGGAGCGGTCGTCTCCCCCCGCAAATGGCAAGTTCGACCCGATCCCCACCTTGACAAGAACGGCCCGACGAGAGGAAGACAAGCGATGAATATCCATGACCTTCCGATTGAGTATTGTACAATGTGTCAGAACCCGTCAGAATTTCGTTCTGAGGGAGGGAAACGATGGGAAGACTTGACCCCGTCGCGATTGATGATGGCTATTCCCCTCCTCCTCTATGTCCATTCTCGGTTTTGGTCCCGAGGATGGAGGAGAGCATGTTCCGAATGACTCGTCCGTCCGGGGTAGAGCCAGTCCCCCCTCCCGAATTCCTACATTCACGACTTCTCCGCGAAAAATGGAGTAGAC